TATCTATCTATCTATCTATCTATCTATCTATCTATCTATCTATCTATCTATCTACATGTATATATGCCGGGATTATAGGTGTGTTCCACTGTGCCCGGCTCCCCGACATCATATCTTACACTGCAATTCGAGATGTAAACTAAGAGGAAAGGAGCAAGCCAAGCTGAGGCCTACAGTTGCCAGTACCCCAGGAATTTTTTTCCCTTTGGGCTCTCTTTCCATGCCCCCAGAGGTCACCAGCAACTCTGGAAGTCAAGAGCCCGCCATGTTTTCCACCAAGAGCCATCTCCAGAGGTGGGAGCATATAGGTGGCCTGGCTGGCTGGTGAGTGGGGCTGGGACCAGAATAACACGCTTCTGAATTGACACTGGCCTGTCTGCTTACAGAGCCACCTTCTTCCCTTTGGTTCCATTAAGCAACAAACGGCTGCTCTGGCCCTCTGTGAGCCCTTCACCAGTGGGTGATTCTGAGGATACGCTGAGGAAGGATGGCTAGGGAGGTTCCAGGCTGGACAGCTACTGACCATTTCACAGGTGGTGCTCGGAGCAAGCAATGGCAGCTAAGTGGAGCCTTGGGGCACAGCTGGACCCCCTAGAAAAGCCCCCTGCTTTTGAATTGTTTCATAGGTGTCCTCTAGACAGGCCTGACCTGGGTGGTGGTCTTTTTAGGGCCTGGTAATTCAGCTGCAAGTTCAGAGGTATCCCCCCCCCTTTTTTTTGTTAGTTCATTCTTATACCAGTGGGTGGCCAATGAGAAGATATTTTTTTCTCTGTTAATGGGATTTGAACTCAGGACTGGATTCTCATTCCACAGGCCCTCTCTGTGACCCAGACAAGTCCCCAGCTCCTTTGGCCCTCCTTTCAACATGGCCAGAGTGCTATCTGCCTTCCTGGTTATCCTTTGGGCCCCATGGCATAATAACCATGGAAGCACGAGACTTTGTGACTCTTAATTCAACACTCAAGAATGGTAGCACTCCTATTTTCAGATAAGGAAAACTGAGGCCCGGAGAAAATTAAGTGATGAGAAAACAGAGACTCTGAAATGAAGGACTAGAGGGGAATGCCTCCTGGCTTGAAGGCTGTTTCTGAGCCTCACTTCCCTCCCTGGTAATCAAGGGGCTCATCGTCTCAATGGGCCGTGGTGAGTAGAATTCAGACAAGGTTCGGAGGCTATACCGGGCTGCTACAGATGGGACGTTCATTTCCATATCCAAGGCCAGCACATTGCCCCTCCTCACCTGAACTTGGCTGTCCCAGCCACAGCTTATCCCTCCCCCCCGCCCCCAAGGTGGTCTTAAGAAGGGAGGATGATGGCCGTTCTCACAGATGAGGACGTGGAGATAGAGAAGTTGTTCATGTTCCTGATATCACACAGCTGCTGAGCACCACCCCAGGGCCTGCCCCTCCGCTCTCCGTCCTGGGCTTTGGAAGCAAAGTGCCGAGATTGTGCAAGGTCCTGGTGGGGATTCCTGGAAAAACAATAGGACTCCAGCCCTGTGGGTCAATGCCTCCTGTGACCAGACCCTTCCCAGTGTGCTTTGTTTATAGCATTTCAGTGACACCCGGGAGGCGGGGGGCTTAGGGGACAGACAGCGCAGATTGTAGAGCGATGGCCTTGGGAAGCATGGGAACCTGAGTCCAACCCCCAGAACATGGAAGGAAACGTGGACATGTCAGGTGCGTCTGTGATCCCTCACTGTGGGAGGCAGAGACAGGGGGATGCCTGGGACTTCCCAGACAGCCAGGACAGCCTCATCAGTGAGCTCCAGGCTGCTGAGGGACTGTCTCAAGGAGGTGGATGGCCCTCCTCAGGATGGCCTTTAGCCTCCAGGTACGAGATACATCATACGTCATACGTGAACGCATAGACACACATGCGCACACACATATAAACACACACAAACACACATAAACACACACACACATACACACACATAAACACACACAAACACATATACACATAAACACACACACACACACACACCATTAAATCCTAGGAAGCTAGGAACAGGGTCTGATTTTCTCTCTGGAATAAATGCCACCACCATGGTCACTGCTCATGCACAGCTCTGCCATTTACTTGATCACATTCTCCTTGTTTGCCTTCTTAAGATAATCCCATATAGTCCCCCTGACTCCTTCTAGAAGACTTAAATACACCGACTTACAGGGAGCCTTTGTGTGGGGTCTGTGTATGAAAACCCACAATCGAATGAAGGGACATAGCAATGCACACAGATTCCAGGGCCTGGGTGATCCCAGCCACAGGGTGCATCCCTGAAGCCCAGGGCCCAGGAGGGGCCTTTTGGGGTGTCAAGCCATCAGCAGAGATGGCAGGTGTACACCAGAGGCAGGCCTAGACTTGGAAGAAGGAAGTGTCACACAGGGTGGCCTGTGGGTCTTTAAGCCTAAGTGCCCCGTCCATTCTTCTATGCTGACATTTTATACCTCATCCGCTGGATTTGGACTGCACCCCTGCCCACTGGGCAGCTGT